AATAATAAAATCAATAAAATAATAGTAAAATAACAAATATTAAGCGAATTTCATAATGAGCGATATACGATAAGATAGAATTTAAAATTGACGAGAATAAAATTAAAATTTAAAAATAAGATACTCTTCTCAGCAACGCACGTTATATACTTAAGCCAGAATTATTTTGTTCAAAAATTAGTTTTTCATTATTTTGACAACTATTGAACATATAGACATAATAAGAATACAACGTTGTGTGCGTTTGATGCAATGCATTTTAGAATATATAATATTGCATATGCAATCTCACGCAAACTGACGGAACAAAAAGCACGTAGTTATTTTTTCGACATATGTATGTAATAAAAAACATTGCAATTTTCAAATGATGTCGAAAACAATATTGCGTACAGTTTTTCGATTTATTTTAAGTGGCAAGAATTATACTTTAAAGAGACTCACGCACATCAAAGACGTCTCTTTGAAAACTGCATTTGATTACAAATTTTTATTAAATATACAACTATGCATACTCACGGGCCTAGCGTAAAAAAATGTACAGTTTAGTGTAATATACATATACATATATCGCGTTCTCTGACCACAGGCAAATCTAGTTTATTGCTTTCAGAAAAAAAACGTCAAAAAATCGTAAAAGTAATTCGTGAAATTTTTTAACACAGTGACACACTACCGGTCCTACGTACTTTTAAAAGAGAAAAAATATTTATTTTTTAATTTTTTCAAATCTAGATTCACCTATACGTCTATTTAAATTCCAATAGCGATATACAAAGAAAAAGAGACGAGATGTAAGAAAAATCAGAGATCACCATTTGAGACTGCGATCGGCGGAGGGCTGGTGGAATTGTTAGAGTTTGTCGCCCATTTGTTTTTGTGTGGATCTACACCGAAACCTTCGTCGTAGTTTCCCCGAGTGATGAAAAGTTGTTTAAAGTGAGGAATGCAGTACACCTTGCCGTTGTTCAATGTAAAGGAATCCATCCTGTTCAAACACAACGACATTTTTAAAACTTTTACATTTATGAAGTAAAAACATTCAGTATTAGTATATATTTCCATACTATAATATATATATTTTATTAGTATTTTATATTATTTAGTCATTTTTATTTTGTTTTATTTTGCCAAGTGTTAAAAAATACATATTATGATGTATAACATATAATATTTATCGACACGTTTCCGAAAATTTTATCGAATTCTTTTTGTTACCTTAATATGCAATTGCACTGAAGACACCGAAAACATTGCTTGTGAAAAATTTTGTTATTCGTCTCAATCTTCTCCAAGGGATAGACTTTTTTCTGGCAACTCTCGCATACGTCCGTACAGGCCGTCTGGATTTCCTACATGATTGTTATGTCAAAAAAAAAAGGTATAAGAAAAATTATCCTTTCAAAATATTTTATAATGATATAGGATAAAACGGGAGGTATGTTTATAGACGAGTGCATATGACAAGTATGAAGGATATTTCTAAGGTGTGTGTATCCTATGTGAAGAAAAATGAAGAACGTGTGTTGTTTCTTAAACCTGCGAAATCTCCTCGTACTTCACACAAGACGGAGATTCAGGACTTCTTTTATTTACGACTTGTGTATTATCGTAATAAACGTTACACGTGAAAGATGAACAGAACAAGATCGTTATACATCGATAGAAATAATATGTTAAAAGGCTTAGTAGAATTGTAAACTATATTATTGCTAACTATGCTACAAAAATTAGAAGACTCCGATAGGCCGTAACGAAAACTTGTCATTGTCACTTGCGGATTGTCTGTATTGACATCTCTCTCTCTCTCTCTCTCTCTCTCTCTCTCTCTCTCTCTCTCTCTCTCTCTCTCTCTCTCTCTCTCTCTCTGTTAACTAAAGCCAATCTCTCAAAAAATCAAAATCACTTTAGCGTTTACAAAGTTTTTCGCAAATCGTTTCGTTGACATTTTCAATTATCGCATTCGTACCTTCGCACTGAATGTTATTGCACAAACGAAAGAGGAAGACAGATAACACGCCTATCGCGATAACATTTCTAATGTTTTCCCTTTATCTTCACAATTTTTAAGTATATAAATAACACTTACTATTTATTTATATAAAAAAATGCTTATAAAAAGAATTCTTCACTCGAGCCGAAGAGTAATTCTGATTACCCTGAAATTCTACGACCGAATCAATCGCGTGTTTCTTTCTCAAAAAAAAATCTTTTCCAAAGTACAATAGATATGCTAATATTATGCTTTTGTGTCGACGATCTCAGCAGAAGTGATTGATTTTAAGACGGAAAACTGTCTTTCGGCACGATCTGGTGATAAATATATAGAAACTGATGAACATGTGGTTACACAAATGACTAAATAGCTAATGAAAGAGAACGTCTTGTTTTGTGTTAGAAACAACACACCAAATCTAGATATACAATACAACAAAAACTTTTAATATTTGCTCCTTGCAACACCTATATATATGTAGTCACAATTTTCTATATTGCACAAGAGAGTTGTGTGGTAAATATACATAAAAGTATATATATCTCTGAATACGTCAATTCTTTAGATCGCACGAGAGAAGTTCGAGCACGAGAATAAGATTATTTATCTGATGTTTATTCTTCGTCTTGAGAAGAGATCATAAATGTATGTATATAAAAATTTACGTACTATCGCGTTAAGCAGTAAAAAGAGTCAAAATTTGTAAAAGCGATCAAAATGGCTATACAATTCTAACCGCTAGTCGGCTCTAAAGAGCATTAAATAGCGCCCAATATTTCTATAAATGATAATTCGTTCAGACCCCTTTTCCCTTATCTTAAAGTTGAAGAAATAGTATTTTTATTTCTTGTTTGTCACACTCACGCACGTTTAATTTTCTTTCGCGCTCTTACTTCCGCTTTACCTATATGCGCACTCAACTATCGACAAAAAACTTGGTACTTATAAAAATCAGAAATTTAAAGCGACAAAGATAAAGATCGTAACGACGCGACGAAGAAAAAATTCTGAATTTATTTTTCATAACTAGTTTTTATGTTAAACACCAACTTTATAGTCAGTCTTTCTTGTGATCAATATTTTGAGGTTTTTTGATTATTATTTATTACAAAGTAGATTATTTATAAAATGAAAAAGGCACGTAGTATAGTAACTGTATTAGTTGTGAAGATTTCAATCTATACGGTAAAGAAAAAATACAATTATCGACAATCTATGAAATATTTAACCAATATTCAACATTTGGCACTTTGTAAAGTCAGTTAGTGACTTTTATTCTAAGTAATAATCAAATAAAAAGAATGATGCGTGTTCATTTAAGTTAAAACTGAGAGAGAGTTTAAATTGGTTTATTAAATCATCATCACTTAATAATCAATATTAAGCGATAATGATTTAATAAACTAATATCTAAAAGATTGAAGATTAAATTCGCATCGTTACGAATATTATCGCAAAGAAGTCCAGCATGCGGCTTAGGTGAATCTCGATGTCACAAATGTACATACGTAGATATTTTGAATAATCCTCGCGAAAAAAAGTTATGATAAAGGAGTTATGATAATCAACATACGTGGTCTTTTATAATTATATATATATATATATATAAAGTAAATTAGTAGATAATATGTATATATATAAATTTCTCTCTGTTGTATATTTTAAGATGAGTCGAGCGTTTTCACGTAAAAATATTTATGCTTTTATATACGCATTGCAAAAAAGTATATATTAAGTTTTTTACATAGTGGTTTTGCACAATTTAGCAGAGTATTATCCTATAACATGTAAAAACTATCTGTCTCAAATCATTTTCTGCTTGTTGACATATTCTTTTCTTCTAATTGACATAATTGAAAGAAATGCTCGACAACACAGACTCTCATATAATATTATATTAACACATAACGTATAGTACAGTCTACAAGCTCGATTTATTATTACGAACATAACGCTCAATTGTTAAAAACCATCCCTAAGAAAACGCAAGGTCGTTACATTAATTGTTGATTAATCAAACGTCATCGCTATTGCGAGATAAAAAAACAATTTTTTTTCCATCGCGTTCCGAAGACGGTTGTCCTTCCTTTATCGATTCTTTTCTTCCTCCTCCTCTTCTTCCTTCTTCTCCTCCTCGTATTTCGATTTAATCCAGGCGCATCCGATTTAATCCTTCGGTTTCTCTCCCTTACTGCTCCGCGTCACAAAAAGAAGATTACTTGATATTGCTTTTGGCTGTGTAATATGTATTTTCTCTATCACACGACACAAGCGGGCACAACTTCGGCCAAAGTGGAGCGTGTTGCGGGTAAAATATTTCACAGAAGAAAACGCAAAAGAAATATACAAAAAAAAAAAAACATTAACGACTAATTAAGAGAAATTATCACATCAGTCATGCTCGATGAGAATCAGTAAAGGAGTTAAAGTGGTTAAGTCAATGCTTGCGCTTGGAATTTTACAGCATGTAACTCGCTGTCTTTCACTGCTACGTATGCATAGATTTAAGTCAAATAAATTATCGTAAGCAACAATTAATATTCATCGCAAAATGTACATCGTCAACAGAGAGTGTAGAAAGAAATATTCGTTATAATATAAAAAATATCGAAGCACACATAAACGACAAATCAATCGTTTTTTCAAGCAGTGTTTGAATTGCGTCCAAATAAGTTTCGAAATATGTTTGTAAATTCAATCACACATATGTAATGAAGTTATTTTTTTTTTTTTAAATAACTTATTTAAAATATATTTTATATACTTTTCTATTTTTATAATTTATTTTTAAAGTATATAGAATGTATATATAGAGTATATATAGAATGTTTTGACTTAACATTTTCTGACGCAATGTAAACTCTGCTTGGTAACTAAAACACATATACGGCTTTAAGTAAAAAAAATAACAACAACAAACAAACAGTCAGAATACGACGAGAATTTGAAAATCACACCATGCGTATACTTCATAATGCTAAATCGTTTAAAAAACAAAAAAAGAATTGTAGGAAAGACGTTTGGTCTCTTTCAATTTTTCCTGACATAGTTAGACGCAGAAGTCAGTCAAAATTAAATCTCATGTGTCACATGAAAAAGAGACTCGAAAGCGTTTTTTCCAGACTTAATCAAAAACTTAATATAATAAAGATGTCAGTAGTTGGTGGAAAATAAAAAACAATTAATGAGATATGTGTATGTGTATAAAAAGACTAATTGCAAAAGTAAATTGTGATACTGGTCACATCAAACGATGTATCCTGATTTACTGTTGGACCAAGTTTGTCGAGAAATATTGAAAAATATGTGTAATTAAATACATCCGAATAAAGTGCCCAGACTCACCACAAATCGATTAACTTTGACTTTCGGCGTGCGCGGAGATTCATTGGTCTGCGAGCCGAGGGACTCGAAACGAGCCCTCAGACTGCTCGCAGACTCTATGCTAGCCTGTTCGCCTTGAGCCATTTCTATCTCGGCTATATGATGATTGCTGACTTTTCCATCGGTCTCCTCCCAATGCTCAAACTTGGCACGGAGAGTCTTGGCGCGAGCCGCGTTTTGCGCTTGTTTCAAGAATTCGTCTTCCACCTACACAAATAAAACAGAAGAGAAAAATAATTTTTGAGCAAATAACATTTTATATAAAAGTTATATACACTATAGAAAATAAATCTCTTGTAAGCGCACCTTATCAGAAGCGCGAACATAGTTGGGGTCTCTTTCCTCAGTGCTTTCGTCATCAGATTCCTCGCCCTCTTCGTCTTCGTCCTCTTCGGAATCCGAAGCTGTCGCCTTGGCGTATTTATCTTCTGGAGGCGGCGTAAAACGCTTCAACGGTTTTGGACCATCCGGTAGATCCTCCTTGCATGCGTTCTCTTCCATCTGCCGGAAGATAGACAGCATCTTCCTCGCCGTGTCCGTGTGCACTACGTCATTCACCCTGTCGTCGGCTCTGACCACGTCGGGATCACGATAGATCTCGCGAACCGGTGAATCCATCTGTGTGTTGCGAAGTATAAAAATAATGTATATATATCAACATAATAAATAAAATAAATCAACTAAAAATCAATAAAGTAATATTACATAAATATATGCATATATATTATATATTGTATGTGCGCATACACAATTACTATGTTAAAATAAAGTAATGACAGATGAATGTATATTTTATGATTTCAGATGTGTTGAGTTTTCGATAAAAAATATATCTACCTATATCTACTGATAAATTTATAAAGCTCCTTGCAAGTATTAATAACACGTCGCTTATTTATTCACATAATTATTGCCTTGGAATTTCTGGACAATTACACAAACAAAAAAGAAGACATCTTTGTGTGCATCATTTATCGAACGATAATTTTAAAAGGAATGTTCGAACCGTGACGTATCGTCGGAGATCCAGATAAGCTGGAAGACTGTCGACCAAAATGCTTGCTTTTTTTACGAACCGTATCCGGCGTGAGTCAGCTCTGGAAGATTTAGTGTGGGTGATACGACTACGGATCTCGGGCAGAGTGTAAAAAAATTCCTCTTTTTTTCAATCGATAGTATACAAACATATATATATATATATATATGTGTATATATGTATATATATAATTTGTTTGTACAGTCATGTGCAAACGTAAATATATACAAAACATAATATAATATTACGTATAAAATATAAAAATATAACTATGTATTAAGAAAATGGTATCAGAGAATAATAAAATATCTTAGAAAATCGATAAATAAATAATTATAATAAAAAAATAAAACAAAAGCTTAAAGAGCATGCACTAAAATAAAAAAAAAACAATTTTATAAAACAAAAATCCATGCAAAGAAAAAAAAGAAAAAGAAAGAGCGAGAGAGGAAAAAGCGTATGGAAGACAAAACCTCAATAAGTAGATTTTTACGCCGATGTAATAAATTGTTGAAAAAATTTATGAGAGAACTGCCACAGCGGAAATTTCTGCTTCCAGCGAAATTCCACAAAATCACCAGTCCAGAAAGGACATTCGATCACACGATGTATCCTTGTATGTACTGTACCGCACGTCAAGCGGCAAATCAAATTGTGACGACGAGATTGCGCCCCGAGCACACAACGTTCATTTCTTTGCGCATTATCATCACCCGGGAACGATCTTACGGTTATACGACGAGAACTTGGAAAAAGATCTCGATTGTATACATCAGAGAGCAATTAGAACACTTCAACAATTCGACAAAGGCACATCGCGGTCGCGCACATTGATCATTCTTTAAATGGTGTGTAATTGAAACTTTCTTATGAAAGTTTCACACAATTTTCACTTCCGCCGACACGTCAGTATCACTCAACGCCGAAGAATCCGCAGATAGGATTGTTAAGAAAACCAAGTATTAACTGCTAATTATTAAAAAAAAAAAAAATATATTGTGAAAAATTTGACTATGGTATTACGCACAAATTGATCGCGATTAACGGACTGCTATTAACGACGACGATTTCGACCGGCCGTTAATCATCTGTCAGCCTGTCATTCGAAGGTTTCTCCGAACAAGTTTTTTGCTTCGAACCGAGCGTCACTCAAACATCTGAGCGATCCTTCTCAAATAAAAGAAATTTGGAAAATTGGCTACCAAAAATAGTATAGTAACGCAAAAAAATCCCTTTAAAGAACGCTTTACGGAGCAATTACGGAGCGTGACTCTGACCGTCGTACTGATAATTACCTTTTCGTAATTTTTATACCAAGCTTCTCTCTCTTTCTCTATGTCTTTCTCTTCTTTTTTCTTTCTTTCTTTCTCTTCGAGGTGCGAATCGAGACTGAACGTCGTCGTTCAGGCTCAGGCCGCGGCAAGTCTCGTCTGCTACTTGGGCCGCGCGCGCTTCTCGAAGGGGGACCCTCTTTCTCCGGTTCGTGAGAAGTCTGTACGGCGACAGCCGTTCGGTTGCTATGCCGTTCACACAAGGAGGATACAGTGTGTGTAAGTCCTCCCCTCGATGTGTGTGAGTTATACTAGGAGGGTCCGCCGCCGCGCGGTGGTGCGCGTCTTCCCCTCGGTTAGGGCCCACTGGTCCCTGTTCTGCGCTCTCTCGGCTCGCGCTCTCTTCACGAACGGAAAGATGTAGGAATACTAACGGTAAAAGAGTATGGCCGCTGCTGCGTTGACCACTTCGAGCGGGAGGTTCAAGGACAGCCCGTTTTGTCGGAATTATTCGTTGCCATAGTGTGTGCACTACGTAATATGCACCGAGGCTTTTATAAGTTTCTTATCGCACATCGATAATTATCACAAATTCTTTACGCGCAGGTGTCCCGATTAGCGAGAAATAAGAAAAAATTAGATTTACTGACTTTTGGCTCGAGAAAAAATTATTTTGCACTTCTCGCGTGCGAATATTTCATATTCGAAATATACAGAAACGGTGAAACAAGCTTTTTACTTCGAATATTGTTATTATAAGCAATAAGTGTTATTTAACGTAAAACATGTAACAAGGAAAAGTAAGAAAACCAAACGTTAGAGTACGTACAGAAAGTCTTCATAAAACTTTGCAAGTGACAAACAAAAAGTCATGACGCAACACAAAACGAGCAAAATGCACTCGACTGCAAACATTTCTCCTATGTTCGTTAGAAATGAGATGATTATACATCTCTTGGAATATTAATATTTGCGATGCGAAGTTCGTTTCTCGTATCATCGGATATTAAGTTAAGTCGTGTTAGAAGATATATATCTTCTTTACACATTGCTGTGTTTTACCGATAAGCAAAAAGTCTTTATCGATGATTAATATAATGTGTCATTGATAACTGCTCCATTCCAGAATGCGGCAAAAATAAACTATGCAAAAGATACTATCGCAGATAGAGAGAGAAAAGACACTTGTTAAAAACATTCGTCTTTTCAACAAGGAAGAAATAATGTATATAAGACATTTACAATGCGTTCAGCAATATTGAATCGAGATAAGATATTATTTGTTCTGTGAAATACATCGACGCGCATACAGCATGTGTCATTTAATTAGTCAACAACGCGTTGGCCACACGATTGTTAGATGAAAATTGCACAAAAACGTCAAGTCAATCAACGACAATAAAGTCGAGAAATCAAACCTTAACTTGACCGTCGCGAGGTGGCGTAATTCGAAACTGCTTCCGCTGTTTTTCCGGTTCCTTATACGTCTCAAAAAATTTGAATTTATTCGAAATTTCCGATGTTTCTACGTGAACCTCCTCGGTCGTATCCGAGCTGCGTACCACGTCGTCTGAGACTTGACGACCCATAAACGCCTTTTTCCCCAAATATTTCAAGGATTATGGTTATTATCAGGCTTACGCTAGACGTTCCAATTGATAATTGAAATTCAATAATTTTATAACCACAAAGAGAAAATTTGATACTTGAAAAATTTTAAAACATTATTATTCGAGCGAACTTACGAATATACACGACACTTGACTTATATAAAATAAGATTTAGACTTACATCTCGTGCACGTCGTGGAGTTTCGGTTGGCGTTTTCGGTAGCACTGGCGTCACTGGACGTCCCGTTTTCGCCGCAGAAGCGTCTAACTCCAAAAACAGCGACCGTGACTTCCTGCTGATGCCTGTATAGAGCGTGACCAAACATATAGCGTCATAAATCACTCATAACTTTAAATTGTCAATTAGCAACGCTATGTTCACTCTAAATAAGTCAAGAACTCATAACGATATAGCTGTTTGTTCAGAAAACATTTTCTATAAAGTCACCGAATAGTAACACTACCGTTTATTCTATACAATATTTTTATCTCGAACTATCTTATATTATCATTTGATTTTGTCTTCTAGATTCGAAATTGTACAACGTAGTGTATTTTCAATTAAATATTGCTCTTAGTCTATTTCAAGTTGCTTTGATCGTTGCCGTATTTATTTTAGTGTGCGTTAAACAGTCTTCAAAATTTGCAAGTCATTTAATTATCCAAAGTTACTTCTCAGTAACTACCTGCTGCGATCACCTCTTCGTCGGCTTTCTCCGGTTTCGGTTTACTGTCGGTTTCGTCGTCTGAGGTCGCGATTGGCTCACCCCGTTCGAATCTCTCTTTGAGGGAACGAGCGTGGGTAGTTGAATGCTGAATCTCTTCGGCCGCGTTTATCTTCGTAACGCGATCATTTCCGGCTACCGCCTGCTGATACATTTCCTTCATCTTGCCTTGTTTACCCTATAAAAAACCCGATGAAAGAATTTTATATCTACTAGTTTATCAGACGCGTGATATTAAAGAAAAATACGAGCTATTGTTAGTGAGAAATAAGAACTCTTTTTTGTTAACTTTCTCACCATGAACAATCGCGAGCGAATTCCTGCAATCTCTTCTTTCCTAGCCTCGCGTTGAATTTCACGTCTTCCCTGTTGGCTGGTGGATTCCCAACGATTCTTGATGTCGTCCATTTTTGAGAAACTGATTGGTCGTTCGCGCGTAGTACGTTTGGCTTTTATAATTTCGGTTTCTACTTCTAAAAATTTAAAAGAAGAGAGAATGTTCATATAATGCACAAAAAATATAAAATAGTAAAAAACTTACGTGTAAAGCTCACGTTTGTTAAATTTGCAATAACATTTTGCTTATGTTTTTTTTTGTTTTTTATTTATCTTACCTTCGGTTTCCTCTGCATCGACTTCGTCTTCGCTTTCGCTGGACTCCTCGTAAGGTATGCCATTGAGAGATTCATCCGCCACGCCGATATCCATACCTTTGGCCTGGAATCTGGATGAGAAAACGTGTACAGCGGTTACGGATATTTCACATCAACGATCATCGATTGCGTTCGTAACGTGTTCATGTGGTGCACTTTCTCGGGTTTCGAGTTACGAAAACGAAAAACTATATATAACTGCTGAATATATACCACAAAAATGTTACTCGAATATTTATACCGATCGCAAACGAAAATTTATATCGCAAACGAGGTTGATTAATTAAATTTTGACCAACGTAAATCTATATTCGATGATTTATCGTAGATTTCTCACTTGGCTAATTTGCTGAGAATGCTGGGCGACCTCTTAACGGCGATCTGCGACGGCGATCTTTCGATCTCATTGGTATTCTCCGCGCCAGCCTTTTCGAAGACCTGGAAGCGCGACTTGACATTCAAGCTCGAGAGTTCCTCGAGTCCCAAGTCGGGTTTGTCAGAAGCTGAAAAATTCAGAAAAGAGATCTTCAAGCTCTTTTCCGCAATGACGTATTTACTGTCCAAATATGGACAGCCTTCCTCCTCGTACACATACAAACACACACACTTTCTCTGCCTCTTTTTTTTTGTCTTTCTCAAACAATAACTTTGTTAGACTGCTAGTCGAAATCGACGATTCATCATAAAAGTGCACACACAACAGACATTTCTATAATGTTTTTCACACAAAATAAAAGAAGAATTTTGTTAAAAAGGACTTGTCTGCATATCGAAAGCAGAGTTACAATGATCGCCCTGATGTGACAGTACAGGCAAATATGAGACACGGTGTTAGGTTTCAAGCATCGATCACGTTACAGCTTGTACAGGGTTTTTACCTTTTCTTCGCGCCCAAAGAATATCTATTTCTTCACTTCAATTCATTAATTTCGCCAACCATAAATCCTAAGATATACGGTCGATAAATCTTTCATCGATGTTAAGTAACAAAAAATGGTAATAAAAAATAAGTGTATGTAAATACAAGCACATAAAAATACGCAAATAGTAAGATATTAAAATATAAATATTAAAAACTAATTTCGCGCGCTCTTTCTTTAAATGAAATTTACAAAACTAACAAAACAAACTTTATAAAAAAAAAAAAAAAAAAAAAATATACGATAATTGTATCTCATCAATGTTGATCTAAGTATATCAAATAAAACGTTGAGATGTTGAATGATTAACTGCGTTTTCTTAAATCGAAGGGCCGCCTAGGACCGCGAAACACATGACGCGATTTGGCGCACAGATAAATGTTCGATCAGCAGCCCTCAATCAACCAGTGGTTAAAAGCCACTCGGCAAAACGGGCATACACACATGCTAGGAACAATCTCCAGATCGCGTTCCATGCCACTCACACCACGTTACCTCTGACCACATCGGGCGGCAGCTCTTTCGGCTCGTTCTCCCGTATGATCAGCTCCGGTTTTCGAGGTCGAACTGCGGAGTTCACAAGACAACTCTTTGTCGCATTAACGATACCTCTTATTCCCTCGCTATACGTTCGCTTACATATAATTACACGGAGGAGAGAAAGAGAGAGACTATAATTTTAGCTTCTGCGCTAATAGCTGAACAAAGTAGGTCTCCCAAGTCTCCAACTTGTGTCCCGGTGTATTAAAAACAATAACGCTCATGTTTTCATCAGAATGTCTTTCTGTTAACTTTTTCACGCTCCTAATTCTATAATATTATTTTATTTTACACATATTTATTTGGTAGCATTAAAACCAGTAAAAAACAGTAACTGTATTCCAGAAAGTAACCAATAATGTCGCAGAGCGTAAAGAATAAGTAAAATGTTTTGCTTTAAATTTATATATTTTCTTAAAAATTCTCTCTCTCAATTTTCTCGTCTGATTTTATGCGTTTACGCTCTACTCCTTTTAATGCATCGCGTGAGTTGCAATTCGTTTTATCCGGCGCACAAAGTTTGCGCGGGCTAAAAACTTAACGACGAGATGAAGTCGACGATGGAATCGACGTCGGTTGTTACGTACCCGCGTTAAAATTTAACGAGTAATTCACAAAGACGATCCGTTTAAGGAGATTAGCGACTGCGACGCGCCGACAGTGTAGCGTACAGTATTGCGCGAGAAGACGATAAGTAATCATCTTACCGGGTTGGTCGGACTCTTCGACCGGTTTTGGTTGGAAGAGTTCCTTGAAGTGTGGTTTACAGTAGAGCGTGCTCTCGTGGCTCTCGTAATTGTCCACGTTAAGCTGTTTGCTGCACTGCACGCACCGGAAGCAATTCTTGTGCCAGACCAGACCCTCGGCCTTTGTCTGTTCCATTTGGAACACGACCTTGCCGCAGCTGCGACAATTCGTGTTTGCCTCGCCATTCTGACCCACCTGCAACGCGCAAAATAAGCCGTTTAATTAGGGTCTTATAGCGACTTTCACTCTCTAGATAGTCTCCTCGGCAAAACGAAGCGCAGTAGGTCGCTTCTCCAAGCTTTTGAATTAATCTATGTCAGAGTGATAAAGGCACGTAACATTCAAGATTAATAGTTCGGTGTAATTTTTATTTAATGAAAACAGCAAGAAAGGGAGACTTACGGCGTTTAGTTGCTGTTGAACTTTTCCCGCATCAATTGAACGCACGTGCAAGACTGTTTTCTTGGTGAGAGCGTCGAATTTGTTGAAGCTCGATTTCTGTAAAACACAAATAGCGATCGCGTTAAAATGATATCACAAAAAAGACTAAAAAAAAACAAAGAAAGAAAAAGAAACATTTCGCAGACAGATATTTTCTTCTTATTTGATTCTAATGAAAATGCAAGAAAGAGTTGTATTTTCTGCACAGTTTTACTGTTTTCAAAATAACGATGCAACAAGAAAACAATGATTAAGGAAAAATAAGCAAGCAATTTCCCGACGCCATTATTGTGCACAAATAGAACAGATAAAAGTATTCTTATAAATATCTTAATAATTTAATTTTACAAATATTATATTTTTAAATTTATTTTAAATTTCTTGTATAAACTTTAGACTTTTTAATTGATTTTGTGTACTTATTAGTAAGTAATAAACTTGTTGAATATTTTCATCGAAATTGTTAATTTGCGATCTTACAATTTCTCTCTTTTATCGTCAAATAAGTATTCAAATTTATTTGCTAAACGTATTTAAAATTTCCGAAAAATAAAAATCAAATGCTTTATATGCAAAATATATATGTATATTTTTTAATAACTGTGTAAATTGATACACATAGTAATCTATACTGAATTTAATTCGAAAATTCATATCGGATGTTAATTTATATCTCGTGTAAATAAATAATTTCTTTCATACCCTTGTAAAATTTAAAAAATCCATTGAAAAAAAAAACAATTTAGGTAGGAGTCGAACTTTCCGCATTCCGTGCAATTGCCTAACAAATTCGACCACTTATGGTCGAATAACACATTCTTTGGTCTGCGTAATTCTAACGAATAGTCACAAAAAGTCTTTCTCCCCTTTTTTTTAGCGTCTAGCTCTTAAAATCCTTATTTTTAGTTTGATAAACTAAAAACAACTTTTTATGAATATCAAAATTTTCGTTGTGCACAACGATGGCATCAAATTCTCGAAAAGATCGTACAAAGGTCTGAAAGCAGAAAAAATTTGGAAGCTATAAAAAAAGCAAAGTGCATCCGTTCATTTGAGGGTAGCAAAAGCGATTGAAAAAAATTCGAGCCAGGTCGCCAAGTCAAACCTCTGTACGAGATCTATGCTATCTTATATCACATTATCTCTTTCTTCTCTCGATAAGAATCTTACCTCGAACTTCAGCCTCCCACATGCTTGATCCTTGTCCTTACCCTCGCTCGTTAAGCTTGCCAAACTACAGTAGGAAGCCCTCTGTTCCCCGAAGTCGATTTCAATGACAGTTTTAAGGTTTTCGCATGCCAAGGAGAGGTAGGCGTCGAATAACAAAGAGATGAAACAGGCCGCGGGTTAGTGTGAAAAAAAAACAAACACAGACGGGCGAGATACGAAACCCGAGTATATCATCTCGGGGATATAGCAGTTAGCGAGATCGCAAATTTTTTACAGTTTGTTAATATCCGGAAAGTTTTCAGTCATAATTTGTGGGTAGAAATCCGTCATGCGACGTAAAATAAATATGACGACAACGTTGAAGGCGGAGATACTCGAGCTTTCGCTAGTACTTACGTCTGCGCGGACACGCAAGAGTATTAATTTCTACTCTAAACACACATGTGCATCTTCTCTGTCGTATGCTCAATAAAAAAAAAATATATATATATATATATATATATATATTATATCTTTGAAATAAACTAGTAGAAAAAAGACATTTTTTCGCGAGGGTTTTGTTATAACGGCAGGAAAAAAAGACACTGCTTCTAAAATTTGAGATTTATTACAGGTTTATTTGTTTATGATTTTGATAGTAAAACACAACATATTCTTTTGTTCTCTTTATAACATGAGTTTGAAGCAACAATTCTTTTTCTCACTAAGCCACAAATGCACGTAAGATGTGTTTTAATCGTTGATTGGAGCTTTGCCAACTGCTACATCAAACGACAAAGGAAAAGAAAACGAACGACAAAGGACAACATTGGAAGCGGCATTGGAGTCATTCGTCGAATCGCATTGTGCGATCACAATGCACGCCGCAAATTTGCTCTTTTATCTCGAATTGTGGCTTTGCTTTCGGCAACGGATGCTATCAGCACGCTTTCTTCACCGATACGATCGCGAGCAGTTTTAATGGGTCGACATTAGCGATCTTTTGGCGCAAATGCACCGTTAATATTTTTACACCAGTATATAATGTTACCAATCGAGCTATCGCATTACACATCTATTTAATGAGACTGAAAAAGATTTTAAATCGCGATGTTTAGATAAGATTAAAATAAAAGATAATCATTATTACGAATATGAGATACAAAAAGTTTGTAGTCACAGTCTCCGGAGATCCCGCATTTCCTCGCCATCGAGCGAAGTAGGGCAAGTAAGTGTAGTGGGTTATTATCAAGTCTCAGCCCTTCCCGTAAATGGAGAGACGGCATTCGCGATGTGACGGTGAACAACTCTAACCGTGCATGTGGGTTCTCCGTGGCGAATGTACTTGACCGAGTACTCATTCGGGAGAATATTATCGAAAATTTTTCATTTTTCCAGAAACGTCTTCCGGCCGTTTGTGTACTTATTGCCAAAGTAAATCGATTTAGTGTAATATTTTTTATTCCAAACCGGTCAATTTTGTTCTTGACTAGAAAATATCCCCGTGACAAAAAAGAGAGAAACTTTGTGAATACATTTAATTTCAATATAAACAGAATTAAAGATAAAACTTTAATCTTTTCTCAAAATATTATATGTGATTATACGACAAGTATCCAACATTAGATTCATAGACTTAACTTGTTGTATCGACGTGGAGAGAACGCGCATCAACGTCCGTACTTTTAATGCGCGTTCATTCGCTTATCCAAGCGCGGCAAATAATAGACCGCCCGCAGATACCAAAGGATAAAACAATTACACGCCCACGAGAGGCTTTCTAGATCGTTACTCTCAAGTAGAAACCGGCGCGATCGCGATCGATGCCGTAAAATATCAGTTTCGTTAGGCTGGCTCGTTATCCAATGTTGTCCGTGTCGAAAGATACTTACAAGGGCCTTGACCGACACCCCAGTGAAGACGTGTACGTCTTTGCTGAATTTCGAGTAACCTCTCTCGCATATTCTCAGATCACCCGTCGATCTCGCCTTCTACGATGGGGTGAGAGAGCGACAACTTCAAATTAGCGGTGTGAGTTTTGTGGAGAAGAGACGCGAGTTTTGTTAGTTAAAGTACCAATTAAGCGACGATTTCGTCAAAACGCAATATTGAAGAGATACACAAATTCAGAAAGCGCATATTTTTGAAAATGCTTCGGTAACAGAATACAGTTTATGTTATGCGTTGTACATTATAAATATAAATAATATATAATTTTTCCATTTTTGTGCGTACAAAAATGTTGTTATAAAGTTTCATGAATTAACAATGTGAGAAACTTAAATATATAATCCGGAAAATGTTTTAAGAAAATAAAAAGTTTTATCTTACAGAACTCGCGCTCTCTAGATGCGATTAGTGTATATTATTAGGATGTAAAATAATTATTATAACGTATATGAATTTCGGATGACACTATCTTTATATTATGAAGCAAATATTGGAAATGACTCATGCAGTAACGAAGCTTAGGTATAATAACGCGTTTCTTATTCGTGTCGTACACGCTAAGAAACTTGCGACATCGTTAATAGGCGTTTATCGTTAATAGGCTTGCAAAATCTGTCTACGCAGTATGATCAACATTAATAATTAAAAATGGCGAATATAATTTCCTTGTAAGCCAGCTATATTTTAATAATGCAATTAAGAACCCATGCTTAGTTTTCTACATCCATTGCAATGATTTTCTATTTGCAACAATAAACTAATTAAAAACTTCTTGTGTGTCTTATTATGTAAAACGAGCTTTTTTTTAAGTTTTGCGTAAAAAATCATCGCCAAAATTTAGACATTGACACATCACTTGCGACCATACAAAAGAAGAAAAACAAACACGTAATGTTGAATTGAACGTGAAATAGAATAGAATAATGAAATTCTACAAACCTCTTCGGTTTCCATTGAGTGGTTCGCTTTTCCGCAAGTTGTCTGATCGCCGTCGTTCGAGATGTTCGAGATGTCGCCAAAGCTGCGACACTGTTAGTGACAAAATACATCTGACAAATGTATCAGCTATTAAACGAAGCAAATTTTTATATGCGAAAGCGTGTGTCAACAATTATTATCGATTTTAAATATTATCGATGAAGAAAAAAATACGAGACCTTCTCGATTTTCGAGGAAAACCATAAGCATATTTTCTCGCGCGTTCATGTTTCTTCATATTTTGCTGTAAATAATAACAATACAAGTTAATTATATTTCGCTACTTACTAGTTGTTTGATGGACACGCCAGTCGCGATTCGTTCCCTGCTCAGCTTCTCCTGGTCGTTACGACTCGTCTCTGAGACGTAGTTCTGTGTCTGCGTGCGCAAAAAGAAAACAAAACAAATGCAGGCAGGTATACATGCAACAACATACGTTTTTTCGTTATTTTGAATACTAATTATATGTTAATGGCTACAAAATTATCCGCGCGTAAATTCGATCCAATTTACTTCGAGAAACACCGTTTCTTCCAGTAAAATAAGGATCAAACGCTCCGTCATTTTAGCCTCATTACTCACACAAAAGCGCAGTTTCAGCGTTCATTAGGTCACGCTCCGAGTTACGCACGCGATTCCCGAAGGTGGCAACATAATTTTCCGCGAGCGCGCTTAATCAGACGGCGAGCTGTCGCGCGCAAATGTAACTCCCTAATTACCTTATCGAGAGCGACTGTACGCCGACTGCGCCTGTCGTTAATTATTTAGTACAACGTTGCCGTTATCTACGAAATCTCGTATTTAATCACAAGATGAGCCAACTGGAATAAATCTTGTGCACGCAAATATCTTGTCACAGTCTTCTTGGCTGAGAAATTAAGTCAAAAAATGGTACTTGTATATCGCAATCGTGTGAACGTCGTCGGAGAACAACTGCGTTCAGACAGTTCCTACCAGAAAAAGCGTGTGCAAATAATCAGAATCGATTCTATCAATCTTGATTGTTGCATCTTTTCCGCGACGTTGATTGAGGACGCTCTGTGACGTTTCTCGGATAATGTGTTTCTCGATTCATGTCATACTGTCGTACGTGTACTAGCTGTCATCGCGGTGTGTGACATGTTGTAAAAATCCATGTGTACCGCGAAGTGCGCGTTTTGATATCGAATGTATCGCATCTATTGTTGCCTCTTTTCCGTATTGCCGATTGATTGGTTGATCGAGTAGAGTCGAGTCGAATCGAATCGGTAAGATCGAGAGAGTAAATAATGACAGAAAAGCGATTTTTAGACAGTTCGTCGTATACGTGGAGAAAATTAAAAACGTGATTAAAGTCACATGACAGGAAAGAGTAGAAAAACAACACGTGACTAAGGTAATGTGACTGTAATGTATATTATACATAACATTAAATAATATATATGATATAAATAATA